TAATTATAAACGACAGTTACTTTCCTTCTATGGAGTAAAACGAATGTAAAACGTCAAAATGGTTTTCTCGAGGGCTTTGCGGGACGCTAAGTCACTGTATATTATTGAGGAAGTCGGGTGTTCAATTGAATATTGGCAGTCAGTGACACTTTTAACATCGTACTTAATTTTAAAAATGGCCTGGAGAGACAACAATTTGTAATTTGCTGCTGTCTTGTAGTTATGCATGCAAAGCACGTCGCTTTTGACCCGGTAACATCACTTACTAAAGGTCGGTTAATAAAGCGGATTTTTATTTTATTTTTTAGCTGGAGCTAAACCATAAACTGAAAATTTATAACTAATGAAAATGGTTAAACAGCAGTGTTTTCACACGTTCTGCATCATTCGAAACTAACTAAAAGCAGCTGATAAAAACCCAAAAGCAATTAAAAATTTTTTGAGTTTTGTGTACAAAGGTTTATTGCACCCAAATTTCGCCGGCAAAAAAAAAAAATTTGCTCAGTTGATTATTTGCTGTGGAAAATTAAACTCACAGGGTCTTAGTACCGAGTTCTTCCGAGAAGATATTTTGATTTGAAGGTTCCAACGGCTATACTTCTGGATTTAGAATTTCCAATCCAAAAGTTTAGAAATTTGTAACAAAACCCAACATTTGTCCGCGAAGAAAAAGCCATAGATTGAATCGGAAATGGAAAATTAAAATGATTGATTCAGTAACTGACGAAAACAGTGAACACTATTAAATTTCATTCGACTGAATTATCGGGCAAGTAAGACTATTGTTGCATTTTTTTTTTTTTTTTTTTTTTTTTTTTTTTGATTCATTGAACAATTTTCTTGAGACTTAATGTATTTGTCAAATTCGTCTTGCAATACATTAAATCCTATTTTAAATCAATTTTGTCAGGCACAGAATCATTGCCAAGTAGAAAGAAGACGCAGTAATAGCTGAGTCAAGAAAACAATAAGCCTCAAAAAGACGTTAGTTGATAGTAGGAAAGATTAACACGGATTGCGACCCTCTCCCTGACTGATTAAAGTCCTTCAAGATGCGAACAAAAGTGACAATTGTTTTTTGTTCAAGCGTAGAGAGTTTCTAAGTTACAAGTTACTCTAATGCATGCTTATTCGCATGCATATTATTAAAAAAATTATTTTACCAGTTATCTCTTCCACATAAAAGAGGACTCCAGTGCACGTGTTTTGATTTGTATTTACTTTCCAGGTTGTCGAAGATGGTTACAGATTCTTTGAGAAAAGAAAGGTACCTTGACATGCGCATCTTTGTTTATTGATTACAATACATTAGTTAACCTGCAATACCTATTTGCAAGTTACTTTTGTACTTGCATTCTTTCTCGCAGTGCTCTCCGTGTTTCGGTGTGATGCTTATACAATGGTTCTTTATTTTACATTGGTTAACAAGAAAAATTTTAAAACATTTTATACGCTTGAGAGACATTTCAAAAAGAGAGTAAATAAACAAGAAAATAAAAAGAGTAATGCCAAACTGCTTATTGAATCACTTGTTTTATTTTCAGCTCGTGACGTTGTTCAGTGCGCCGAACTACTGTGGTGAGTTTGATAATGCTGGTGGTGTCCTCATCGTCAGTAAGAACTTGATGTGTTCGCTGAGCATACTCAAGGTAATTGCTTGTACTCCATCACTTTCGTTATGCCCGATACTTAATTTTCCCCTATCACTCTTTTGCTTTCAATTCTTACCGTCCTGTTTAGTGCATTAATCTCGTACTCGATCGTGATTGCCACAGACAAGTCTTTTCAAAATTCCCTTACTTTCCCCTGATAAAGATACAATTTTCTTGACGAAATAAATGCAAAATGTCAGATATAATAGCGGCTTCTAATTAAGCTCCCCATACAGCGGACTCTTCTACCCATTCATTTCAACAAATTTTCCTTCTTTATCAAGGAAAAACATTGCTGCCGACCAGAATCTTTCTTCTAGCCTTCAATGGCATTAAATCAGCGTATAACATTATGTCAATTTTCCCAGACTTTTCTTCAAAATATCATTTTTCCTTGACTCAAAATAAAATTTCCTGACATTCCCCTTATACCTTGATGAGTTTTTCTTTTACCTGACCAGTTCCTGATCTGTGGCAACCCTGCCAATTGAACATAGACTAATGAGTAGTCCCGCTTTCGCTTAGTCCGTCCTGCGTGACGCGAAAGAAAACCGCGAGAGAAAAAAAATGGCCGCACGAAATCCTTGGGTCAGGAAGCGCGCGAAACGAGCTTTATTTAGTAAATAAAGCTCGTTTCGTTTTGCTCAGTTTTTTGAGCGTGACCGTAAATTACGGTCACGCTCAAAAAACTGAGCAAAAGTAGGACTACTCGTAGTGCAATTGAACAAGGAACTTTTCGTAGTGGACCTCGTTTTATTTTACTGATTATGACTGATATGTTTTGTTTGTCCATTTTAGCCGGATAGTTTAACGATTAACATCAAAGACACACCAACCCAGAAGAAGAGTGGAAGGCTAGGTCGCTCGTCCAATCAGATTGAAGTCCAATAGTTTTCTTTATTTGAGCATTTACATGGATGACTTTTATAGTTCGGTGCAGCTTATTTACGAACAGAAGGAACACTTTCATGGAAACAGTTTTCCTTTGTTATTTAAGCTCCTTTTTTAAAATTTTATTTATGGAGATATAAATTATAGTGCGCCACAGCCAGATAACTTTTGTACTGCATATTTATAAAAGATTAAATGACTCAGTCGGTGTGGTTGCATTTTCTGTTCGTTGTCATAAATGACTACTTTAGCCTCGCGTAGTAATGCCCTCTATTTTCACGAGTCGTGGTTGACGATTTGCGAAGAAAATTAAGCGCGTGAAAATTTATTCTGAGGAGGAAATTCCTACTAGTCTGTGATGTCACTCGTCTGCTGCCTGCCACTCGGAACCGCTCGATTCTTGTACCCATGGTCCTTTTCGCTTCTCTTGGCCGGCGGGGTCTTAGCAAACCCTTCGTTTCTCGTTCCATGGCTTCGCCGTCTTAAAGAAGCGAAAAGGGCTATTGGGACGAGAATGGTTCCTTGTTATCCTTAGAGAACCTCGTCCCCAGAGTTTCATGAGAAAATTATTTATTATTTATTTTGTAAAATTATTTTGATGCCAAATTAGGTGGGTGGTTTTTAGAGAGACAGCCTTTCAAGATTGCTACATACGCCATGCAGGTTCCAAGACTGTCACTTTTGGAGATACGTAGAAGGGGCTTCGTTTCTGCGAGTTTGATATACGAATTACAAAAGGCTAGTCAATCTAAATATGGGTAGGGCGCTTGCCCTGAGACCACAAATCAATTTGTTCTTTACACTAACGAAAAAAATCACAATTAATAAAACTTGGATGTTGTTTTGTCAATCACTACCCATTTACGTAAACATTGCTTCACGAAAGTACGTCATATTTGGCGAACATTGAATCATTTAGCTTTAAATAGGAGCCCAGCACTAGGAGTGAGCAACTCCCATACTAAACCCATGTCACGGCATTTTTATAGACTGGTCTATATTTAGGCTTCTTTTCGGCGAAATAGGTCAGTTCCGGTCTACATGAGCGCGCATCGGTAAGGGAAAAAAATGGCTTACCTCACATCAGGAGCCCGTCACTTCTTCCAGTGAAATGATGACGTCAGTTGAAAATTAAGTCTGTGCTTGTGATTGGTCTCTCAGATTCCTACGGGGTCTGAATTCGCGGTGAATTCAAGCTAAAAATAGATCTGTGAAAACGCCGTGACAAGAATATGGGGTTGTTACACGCTCCTGGTGATGGGATCCTGCTTTAAGTTAATCGGTAATCCAACTTCAAGTGGCGCAATCATGAACATGCTGTCGAAAAGTCAAACTTTAAAAGACGATAAGCTCGGATATTTGTCCGCAGAAATTATGGTTATTTACCATTTACCCAAAAGACTTGAAAGGTAGTCCAACATTTCCAACCGAAATCTCCGAGTGGAAAATGTGCTTACCGTTTGCAATTCTTCGCCGCCATCTTGGAATTACAATCAGGTCGAACTCGTCCTACTTTCTTTCGGTAAATTGGGGATTTTTTAGTAAATCCGAAATGGCCAATCCGAACGCAACTCACAATCAAGCATTTTTGCTGACCATTTGCACAAACCTGCGACGAACCTGTTTCTCCATGTAAATTGTAAACAACCTAACTGCTCCGAGAAGCTAACAGTTTTCCAAGCAAACAGTTTTTCCGTAGCTTGAAGAAAACTGTGAAGCTTCGAGGAACAGATAATGTCTGAGGACAAATATCCGAGCATATTTTCGCGCCAAATTGAGGCTACTGTATTTTTTTATCCTTCAAATATTTTTCGCAGCACACGCAGTTTTGACAATTGGAGAATATATATATATATGTTATTTGCCGGCTGGGACGTCCGTATGGTGAAAAACTGTGACCGAGGTCTTGAAAATGCTGCCCGAGGCCGAGGTCACAGTTTTTCACTATACGGACCGACCCTGCCGGCAAATAACATTTTTATTTTTTTCTCCTGCAGTAAATTGGTTTTACAGATTACAAATGGGTTTGTTTACGCAACTCTTGTCACTGAATCGGCTTCCACGCCGTCTACTAACGATTTGTAAAAAATCTCGGCAACGAGCGAGTAACTCAGATAGTAGACAAAGAAAGATGTATTAAAGAACAGATTTTTTTCGAACTACTTTATGTTAGTTGCATTTATTTCACCAGTTAAGTTCTCCAAAATTGTTTTTGTGGTGTGAAACTTCGTGCGAAGTTTGAAGTTTGACTACAAAAACAGTTTCTGTCAGTCGTTGCTTTTAAAATCACTTGAAATCAGACTTTGTACCGTAAATTGAATAGCAGAAAGCGAGGAAATTCGTTAAGTGTATTCCACAGAAATCCTCCTAAATACAACAACGATCAGAGAGGTAAACTCGACTGAAATTGACTCAAATTTCATGGCGAGAGAAACACAGGATTATGCGCCCTTACAGCGCCAAGCTACAAACAACCAAGCAAACTCTCACAACGTCAAAACACTCAATTGAATTTACTTACAGTGACTTTCCTTGCCATTTTAAAGTGAACAGAGATAAACTTGCGTTGACTAATCGTCGATGGACGTTTAAAAAAGGCAAAAGATTGACAACTACCGCCAGCCTTTAGGAGCGAAATTTAGGCTGCGAAGAAAAAATCCGGCCAGTGGGCCGTATCGTAAAAAGCTGGACCGGTCCGGACCCGTCACGTGCGTATGATTAGCCAATCAAATTCGGGGATTTAGGAATCCGGCCCGCTCAGATGCTTGAGAAAAAAATAACACTCGGATATTCCCCAGTTTTAGCTGGGCCATATTTAGTCACGTGACGCGTTTAGACCAATCGCACGCAAGCAAAATATTTGATGGATTACAAAATGACACAGTTCTATCAGAAATTGTCATGTGAGTCTTTGAAGACTTTGAAACTAAATTAAGAGTGATTGGTGCATTTGGACTACGTGTAAGTATGCTCAAAGTTTTAACTCCAAATTGAAAAATCTCCGTAATAGTCTCCTCGTGATCTTTTCTAATCTTAACCATCTATTATATATTTCTTTTAGGAATTTTATTTTTAACGTTAGTGTTCTAACTTGAGAAGCCATCCTTTAAACTCCATGTCATCGAATGCCCCTTCAATACTTAACGGTACGTGAAGTTGCTTACAAAGTTATTATTATTCTTTTTATGAATCTGAATTGAGTAAGAGCTGGGAAGTATAGAGCGTTAAGATCAAATGCTAGACCTGATCATATTAACGATACTATCTCATCATGTAACTAGTTCAGTTACAATCCTTGCATTTTACTTTCCTCGCCCAAAACCTTGAAACTAACTTTCAACGTTTCAAAAACTTCTTTTGAAATATCGCTAATAAAACAAGGACGTGTAGTGACTAAAACAGTCCTTAGAAACGTATTAACCTTACCATTTTGAACCATTGTAAATCCTTTGACTGAGAAGGTCCAGAGAAAAAACAGCCTTAAAATCAATAATAAGCTAGTCATATTTAGTCAACTGATGAAATTGACGAAACATAGGTATGAGGGACGAGGCTCATTTTTATTATCACACAAAGTCTTCCATGAACCTTCCTGCTTTAAAATTACTTTTTAATGTTTAATCGTGTGCTATGCAACCGAATCCATGAGAGAAACTCACAAATTGGAAAATGATTCTGAAAAAAACATTCGTTACTATTTTAATTTAAGGTGGCTCAAAACAGTTTCCATCCCTTAGATTTCGATAAGTCGGTATAACCACTCTTTATCACTTGGTGCTACAATCATGGTATTAAAAAACTGCCCAATCATTGGTGAACACGTTGTTATAATTTTCGTGACACGATACGTTACCAGAGCAACAGTATGACCCACTAAAAACACCCTTAGTTACAGCTTTAGGGACTTACAATTCAAAAACTACACGATGAAATTTTTTTGTATTATCCAATTTTAGTAAGCATGATAAGACGCAACTTTTGGCGAAGTTTAAAAAGTTCTGTACATAGGGTTCAGGGCTACCATAAAGTTTTGAAAATTTGATTTTCCCCAAGTTGTGTTCGTTTACCATCATGAAGTTCCTTTTCCATTTCCCGCTCCGAAGATCGTCACACTATGTTTACTTGGAGCAGTTGATTACAAACGTTATTACTAGAAATCTAGTCCATCTAAAATGCGGAAGTGCTTGAAACGTGCAGAACAAATATTCGGGGTTAAACTTTTGTTTTTTCCTTATTTGGGCATAGATGAGCAGACGTACTTTGGGGATAAGTATTCCAAGGGCTTAACGAACAAAGACTTTCCAGAAATCACCAGAAGACACTCCAGCCTGAAAGTCATCACATTCCCATCTTGAGTGACCTGGATCCAGCAGCCAGTGATATAAACCTACTGCAAAAGCCGCATGGTTGTACAATCTATCTTGATTTTTAGCATGCCCCCATTTACCAACGTTATATGCATTATCCTGAAATCCCCAGTTATTACAAACTCCTGCCAGTCCCGAGTTGTCATTTTCCATCCTAACAAACGAGCCACAAGCTTCAGGCTGGACATCCGTCTGACCGCTGAAGTACTGGACTACAGCTTCACCAGTGCTGTTAGCGACCGTGGTCACGTGGAACGTACGCAGTCCGTGTTGTTTACTGCAGTAGAATCGCAGCTGAGCAAAAGACAGGTGTGTTCTGAGCTCATTCATGGCGTTTTTCTTCAGAAATGTTTTGTTGTTGTGATAGTTTCCAATTCCTCGGTATGTTGTCTCTAATGACAAGTTCATTGAGGATGAGCTGTCCGCTACAAAGTTGGAGACAAGAAGCCAGCCTCCTGAAATCAGGAAAAATTGTCATTTCATCACACAAGTTAAAGGAGCTCAGTCACGGTATTTTGAGTTATTTTGGCCACATACAAAGTTACCTTTCAATGGTAGGAAACCTGAAAATAAGAGTTTAGTAAGATAGAAAAACACCAAAGAGATAATGATAAACCATAAAGGAACAAGGATGGCTAAGGATGGAGAAGATTAACACGGATTACAAACGAC